CTTTTGGTTTAGGATAGTCCTTGAGAGTTCATTTCCTAGATTGGTATCTAGGATACGATCCTGTATCCTAGATTCAGCCCGTGAGCTGATGTTATTTGTTCTCAGATCAAAGGACTCCCTTTAATAATTCTTGTAAGTTGGTTTGGTTTTTACGTATGTCCTTAATTTCTGTTTATCTGGAAATGTCCTGATTTCACCATCATATTTGAACGAGAGTCTTGCAGGATATATTATTTTTGGCTGGCAATTTTTTTCTTTCAAGGTTGTATATATGTATATATGTCATCCCATTGCCTTCTTGCCTGCATGGTTTCTGCCGAGTAATCTGAGCTTAGTCTTACTGTTTCTCCTCTGTATGTGACTTTTTGTTTTTCTCAAGCTGCTCTCAGGATTCTTTGTCTTTGGTTTTGGCGAGTGTGATTTTCTTTTGAGGTCTATCCTATATGGGGTTCTTTGAGCTTCTTAGATGGCCAGCTTTTCATCTTCCATGATATTGGGTCAGTTTTCTGTCAGGAGTTCTTAATCGATCCTCTCTGTGTTTTCTGTTTTCTCACTGTGGTCTGGAACTCCAGTCACTCGTAAATTTTTTCTTTTGATTGTATCCCACATAATTCTCAGGGTCTCTTCATTTTTCTTCATTCCTTTTTCTGATTTTCCCTCAAACAGAGTTGTATCCAAGTGTTTGTCTTCAATTTTGCTGATCCTGTATTCCACCATTTCAAAACTGCTCCTCAGCCCTTCTATGACACTTTCCATTTCTGAAACCTTGTTGTTTAGCTTTTGCATTTCTAATTGATGTTTTTGTATGATTTCTAGTTGTGAATTTATTTTGGCATTTGTTCCTGCATTATTTTCCTGAATTCTTCCATTTATTTGTCAGTATTTTCCATGAATTTGTCTATTTTTTCCTGATTTTTGTCTGTTTTTTGCTTCAACTCTTTGATATCTCTGAATATTAGAGATTTCAATTCTCTATCAGGTAGTTCGTGTACCTTTTCTTCTACTGGAAAGTCATCTGGTGTTTTATTTTGCACACCTACTGGCACTATCCTGTCACTATCCTGTCCTGTTTTTGTAAATGTTTTGATATTGTCTGCTGTCTTCGGGGCATTTGATAGTTATTTTCCTCGTTTATTGATTGTAGATTTATTTGTTTTGTCCTGCTTTTTTGTTTTATTTGGCTATGTCTGAGCAGTTGGGCTTTGTGTTCTTTGTTGTTTACTCGTCTCTGGGCATGATACTTTTCACCTCCTCCAATTGGCAGGGTCAATCGCTCAGATATGGTACAGCAGGACAGGTCTAGCTGAAGAGGAGTTGCTGGGATGGGTTGTTTGTGGCACCTAGTACGGCCACCAGGGTGGGCCAGTAGTGAGCGCAGGGCAGGTTCCAGTAGGCCGTGCCTGGGCTGCTTGGTGTTGTGATGTTCAGTGCATGGTGCAGGTAGGCAGGATGGAGGGGGGAGATTGTGATGTTCGGAGCTAAGATGGGTATGGGAGAAGGGAGAGAGGAGAGAGGAACGGGAGCCAAAATATACGAACAAACAGAAAAGAGTGCTGTGGGACATTGCCATTGGAGTGGAGAGATGAGAGACTATGAAATGGAGAAATACAAAAAGGAGAAGATGAAAAAAAGAAAAGAAAAAAATGAATAAATAAAATTAGAGAGAAAGAAGAAAAGCAGAGTGTCCAGGGATCCCACCAGTGTGTCTGCGAGGTCTGGGGACGTTACTCCCAGGCCATGAAGTACAGCCTGGCTAGAAGGGGTAGTGGTGTCACTCAGCGCCAGGTATTTGGGGGACAGGAAGAGAAGGAAAATATAGAGAGATGAGAAACTGAGTAATGAAGAAAGACAGGGAAAAGAAAACAAAACAAATACAAAAAAAAAAAAATTACAAGAACAACCCCCCCACCCTAGAAAAACAGAAAAAAAAACATGAAAAAAGAAATGACCTCAGGGATCCCGCTGCTCGTCTGCGCCAACTGAGGGGCTAGGTCCCAAGCTGCGCAGTACTGCCCGGCTAGAATAGGCTCCCAATTCAAGAAAGAAAAAGAAAACCAACAATTCAAAACAAATCAAAAAAGCCATGGGATCCCACCAGTGTGGCAGCTAGGGCCAGGAAGCAGTTTCACATTCGAGCAGCATTTCACAGCCTTTCAGGAAGAAGCAAAGATGGCACATGGAGCCAGGTATTTGAGAGAAAGGAGGAGGAGGTGGTGAGAGGTAAGGAAGAAATCTAAAAAAGTAGGAAAAAGCAACACCAGCAGCCAACAAATGGCACTTAGGGAGCTGGCCAGTGTGGGCGGGTGGAATCCAAGCGACACCGGGGTGAAGCTGGTGCTTCCTGGCCAAGAAACTGTGGCCGCAGGAAGTAGAGGAGGCCGTGTGGGGGTGAAGAAGTGTGGGGGGTGGGAAAGCATATATCGCTGGTTACCAGTTTTGTCTCCTGGTGGAGGCTCCATGAAGCTGCTTTCTCATACCCCCGTTTGCTGATCTCTGATAGGAGTCCAAGATGGCAGATCTGTGCTGCGATAGCTGATAAGGGACCTCTGCATGTATCTCTCCTCACTGTCTCTTCTCTGTCTGTTTCTTATTCCATTTGGTGCTTGGCTGAGTTCTTTCTCTCTTCATTTGATGCTTAGGGTTTCAGGATGGCTGTTTTCTCTGTTTGGCTTAGTTTTTCGGATCTTTGCTGTAGAGGGATGGCGTAGTGCTTCTGCCTGTAGCGCCATGTTGCCCGGAAGTTACGTTAAAATTTTTTCACTAAAATTAATTCTACCCATAACATAACTACTTTCTATTTTTGCCTGCTTATTCCACATAATATTATATAGATTTTTGCATGCATCTCTCATAGCATCATAATGTCTTTGTTTGAAATATTACCTAAGACACTACCAAGTTAATGTACTGTAATTTACCTTATTATTTCCCTGTTGTTAGTCATTTAGGTTGTTTCTAATTTTTATTTATTATAGATAATTCTGCACTGAATATCTTCATGCAAAAGCTTTTGTTCCTTTTTGTCAAATTACATTCTTAGGATAAATTCCCCAAAATGGATTGCTAGTGATAAGATTAGTTTTTAGCTATATTACGAGTTATTTGTCTGCAGAAGATTTTCACAGCTGCTGGTACGTATTGCCATAATGCTTTCTGAAGAGATTTTTCTAGTTTATGTCATCAGAATTTTTTTTAATTATGAAGTATTTGATGTAACTTGATGTAAGTTATGAAATATAGTAGTAAGACAAAACAAAACCTGACACCTAATATAACATGTACACCATAGTCCCTGCCACTCAAGGAAGCTCCTTATGAGCTTCCTCCCTGATTCTCATCCACTGCTTTTGCACCACAAGTACTGCGTTGGATTTTCTTTTTCTTGATCATTCTGTTGCTTTTCTTTATAGTGTGCGACGAATATGCACAGTCCTATATGTTTACTTGTGCTTGGTTTTCAGATTTTATGAAAATGATATGATGGTCAACATGACTTGCTTTTTTCACTCAAGATTATGTTTTTAATATTCATCTACCTAGATTCATTAATTTTCATTTATCATCTTTTTTTTGTATCTGTCATACACTGTTTTATTGTCATTTGTGTAATAATTTAAAAATACTTAACCAATTGAGTAAGTATAAAATGATACATCAGGTTTGCTTTAAAAATACATTTCTTTTGTTATGAATATGACTTTATTTCTGGATATTGTTTCTGTTTATTTTTATTTGAAAAGCGTGTTCATACTCCATGGCGGTTGTCTTTTATGTTCTTTACACTCAAGTGAGGGTTTTTTTTAACGGGTTAAACATTTGTATGACGTCCCCTTCAACCACCCTGGTCTTTTTTTTGTTTGTTTTGTGTGTTTTGAGACCTAGATTATTTTTCACTATCTAGTAATCTAGAATCAACTAGTAAGATTTTGTTGTTGTTGTTGTTGTTGGGTGCTGTCAAGTAAATGCCAATTCACAGCAATCCTGTTTGTCAGAGTAGAACTGCCCCATAAGGTTTTCTTGGCTGTAATCTTTACAGAAGCATATCACCATGTCTTTCTCCTACAGAGCTACTAGGTGGGTTTGAACCACCAACCTTTTGGTTAGCTGCCAAGTGCTTTACCATTGTGCCACCAGGGCTCCTTAGTGAAGTTTAAAAATTGATGTTAGGTAGAATATGAGTCAAAGAGATGTATTTGTAAGGGGATAGGCAGTGAATTATTTGGTTTTTATATGTGTAAGAGATCTTAACAATTATTTATTCTGTCCATTTTATAGATAAGAGAAGTTGAGCAAAGAGATGTTAAATTGCTTGCCTTAGGTGACACAACCAAGTAATGACACGGACTTGGGGCTGGAACCCTAATCTTAGGACTTTCCTGGCTGGTACTTATACCAGCTCTACAACAGTGCTCTATTTATGTGGCAAATGAAGGAATGGAGACACAAAGAGAGAAAATGTCTTGCCTAAGTCACATATGTAATTTGTTGATGAGTTTGGAATCAGAGCCCAGGTTCTCCTGATACCTAGAGCAGTGCTGGTCTCATTACACCATTAAACCATTTCCTGTTTGAAATGTCTTCTGTAACGGCTACATTATTTTGATCTGTTGGTTGAGTAAATATTATAATGGAATTTATTAACAGTGTTTTCAGGGACAGTGCAAACTTTATGCAAAATTCCACATGAATATTAAAAATATGACATGGTTCCTGTCCCAAAATATCAAATCTAATTTAAATATTAAGCAAGTCACTCAAACTTATTGTCTCTCTTAAAGTCATGTTGTTTTCAGACTTAAGTCTATAGGAACCATGACAAAGGATTAAATCAAATGGGATCTTCAGTAGTTTTAAAAATAGTGTTCTTTTTATTATTAGAATTTTACTGTGGTTGAACTACTTCTGGTTTTAAGGTTAATTCATAGAGCCTGTCAGGCTGTTTTCTTCTTTTGAGAAACAAAAAAGTGAATCCCCCTTTTCCCCCTTGTTGGGCATTTTAGGGCTGTCTAAATATCGGCCAGCCAGTTCCCGGTCGGCTTTAGTGCCCCAGCACTCATCAGGCTGCGATGGCACACCCACCACAAAACCCCCGTGGAGTATGGAGCTTGCACGTAAAGGAACAGGTAAAATTAATTTTCTTTTTTTGTTTAAGAACAAATCTGTGAACTTCCTAGGGTTATTCATCACCTTAAAAAAAAAGTACTTAGAAAAAAATATAAATCTTAGGACTTGCTTTTCTTGTAACACATTGATGTTATATTTTAAATGAGTCTTTTTTCAATTTCAAAAGCAGTATACTATTAAGAACACTTGGAAATAACAGGAAAGTAGAAGAGGGAAAAAAAATCATCCCCCATTATGCTATTTCAAGATGACCATTGTATTAACATTTTGTTCCTTCCTTGCAGTGTTTTTTCTAAGAATATTATAATGTGACATATGCCAACTTCCATAAAATACAAAAATCAACCATTTATTTTCCTCCCTAAAAATCATATAGTCAGTGATTCAGTCATGAAGACTTCACGGCATACCTAGAAAAATTTAGCATGTTTCTTCTTTTATGCAAATTATTTCATACTAATTGGGTTTAAGTTTATAAAAGGTAATACAATTCAGATGTGTTTGTTACCTCTTCCACTATTTTACATTGTCTTCTACTTATTCTGTTCCTCTGTTGCTTACAGAGAAAAGATTATAATCCAGATAAAGAGTAAACATTTGATGCTGATAAACTACCATGAAGCAAAAAGATTCAGTCTTCAAGTTTTGACAAAACAGGGACTGATAACAAGATGCATAAGCAATCATTTTTAAGGAAAAGCTTTTCCAGAAGTCATTAGTCAGACTAAAATCTGTCAACTTTTGGTTACATTCCAACTGATGGATTTTGCTTATATAAACCATGTTTTTATATGATATAAATTAAAAAGTACTGTTTATTAAGTTGAGGACCTTAGGAATCAACTGTGATTAATAAGAGACTTCAAACAAAAGCAATACCTCAAAATGTTTTAGTATTGAGACTGCAGACTGTTGGTTGCTTATATCTCTTGGTGCATTGTATGCATTTATCATAATAAAATACCTGTTGCCATCAAGTCGATTCCGACTCATAGCGACCCTATAGGACAGTAGAATTGCCCTATATGATTTCCAAGGCTGTAATCTTTATGAAGCAGACTGCCGTGTCTTTCTCCCGTGGAGCAGCTGGTGGGTTGGAACTACCTACCTTTTAGTTAGCTGCCACGTGCTTAACTGTTGTGCAACCAGGGCTTCTTCATTTATTGTCATAGATCCACACAAAATATGTTTCAGAAAGAAATCAGCTGGAAACTTTAGCACTTACTTTGATAAGTAAATTTTGACATTTCTTAATGCTTGCCTCCCAACGTGTCTGTCCGTTTGTTGAACTGTGGAGGCTTGCATGTAGCTGTGATGCTGGAAGCTATGCCACCGGTATTCAGATACCAGCAGGGTCACCCATGGCGGACAGGTTTCAGCAGCTGAAGCGGTATATCGACAGGAAACTGCCAGAAATTCAGGCCGGATTCAGAAGAGGACATGGAACCAGGGATGTCATTGCTGATGTCAGATGGATCCTGGCTGAAAGCAGAGAATGCCAGAAAGATGTTTTCCTTTGTTTTATTGACTATGCAAGGGCATTCAGCTGTCTGGATCATAACAAATTATGGATAACATTGCAAAGAATGGGAATTCCAAAACACTTAATTGTGCTTATGAGGAACCTGTGCATAGATTAAGAGGCAGTTGTTCGGTCAGAACAAGGGGATACTTCAGGTTTAAAGTCAGGAAAGGTGTGTGTACCTGTTCAATCTGTATGCTGAGCAGATCCGAGAAGCTGGGCTATATGAAGAAGAACGGGGCATCAGGATTGGAGGAAGACTCATTAACAACCTGTGTTATGCAGATGACACAACCTTGCTTGCTGAAAGTGAAGAGGACTTGAGGCACTTACTGATGAAGATCAAAGACCACAGCCCCCAGTATGGATTACACATCAACATAAAGAAAACAAAAATCCTCACAACTGGACCAATAAGCAACTTTATGATATATGGAGAAAAGATTGAAGTTGTCAAGGATTTCATTTTAATTGGATCCACAATCAACTCCCATGGAAGCAGCAGTCAAGAAATCAAAGGATGCGTTGCATTGGGCAAATCTGCTGCAAAAGACCTCTTTAAAGTGTTGAAAAGTGAAGATGTCACCTTGAGGACTAAGGTGCGCCTGACCCAAGCCATGGTGTTTTCAGTCACCTCAGATGCATGCGAAAGCTAGAAAATTAATAAGGAAGAGTGAAGAAGAATTAACACCTTTGAATTGTGGTGTTGGTGAAGAATATTGGCTATACCATGGACTGCCAAAAGAACAAACAAATCTATCTTGGAAGAAGTACAACCAGAATGCTCCTGAGAAGCAAGGATGACAAGGCTATGTCTTACATACTTTGGACATGTTGTCAGGAGAGATCAGTCCCTGGAGAAGGACATCATGCTTGGTAAAGTACAGAGTCAGCAAAAAAGAGGAAGAGCCTCAACAAGATGGATTGACACAGTGGCTGCAACAATGGGCTCAAGCTTAACAACGATTATGAGGATGATGCAGGACCGGGCAGTGTTTCGTTCTGTTGTTCATAGGGTTGGTATGAGTTGTAACCAACTCAGTGGCACCTAACAACAACATAGCCCTTACCAGTTTTGTATTCCCTTGATTTTGTTTTTGGTGTAATTTTGCTTTATTATCATTATACTTACTAAAATTTATTAGACATGAAGAAACTTTCTAGATTTTTTAAAATTTATAAAGTTTAGAGAGTTTTAAACCTGTTCATACAGTTGAGTGATGTTTCTGCTCGTCTGCTTTCCCTTTAAAAAAAAAATTGTCTGAATTTCCAAGTGTCAAATCAGTTCCTGTTCCAGAGAGAATCTGAGTGTGTTTGTTTTTTCTTAGTGATGTGGAGCATTAACCTAGGTAGAAGCAAGTCTTAACACCTTATGTCCACCAGTGTGCTTTTGTATCATTGTTTCATATTGCTTTAAAAGATACATTTTTACTTTTTTTCTTTTGAATCTCTCTTTAGAGACTTATAGTTCTCATGACCTCATATTGGAAGACTGGGGAATGGGAGATGCAAGGTTAGTGAGGGAGAAGAGAAAAGCATGAAAATTTTGAGCTTTGGCTGCTCTCAGTATAAAAACCCAAAACCCAACCCTTTGCCATGGAGTCAATTTTGACTCATAGTGACCCTATAGGACAGAGTAGAACTGCCCCATAGGATTTCCAAGGCTGTAATCTACATGGAAGCAGACTGCCACATCTTTCTCTCTAGGAGCAGCTGGTGGATTCGAACTGCTGACCTTTCGGTTAGCCGAACGCTTAACCACTGTGCCACCAGGGCTCCTTTGATGCAAGGCTGGTGATGGAGAATAGGAAAGCATTAAAATTTGAGCTTTGGCTGCTCTCAGTATAGGACCCTTTTATGTCATAAAGTAAAATGAGTGCCAGTGATATTTAATTTTGAATGTATTTTTTAATGTGCCTTTGTAATTTCTTTAAAATTATTTAGTACCCTAAGACCACTGAACAAGTCCTAAAATTCAGCAGCAACATTATTAGAATTTAGAAAACCTTCATTTTACAAATGATAAGAGTTCCAAAATTCTGTTTATACATGTCTTTATTTTGGAGTCTGAATGAGTTTTCTCATAGACACATCGTTATGCTTTATAGGTACTTTCCCAGACTATCCCAGCAAAAGCCCATTTAACTCATACTACATGAGAATAGAAGTATCAAACCTAGCCACTGTGTGTAACAGTGTTTCTAGGAGAACAGGCACTTGGAGCTCTTTTGGGATGTCAGAAGCTTAATTTTAGCTAACCCAAGTGGTCAGTAAGAATAAGAAGTTCCTCTCTTCCTGCCTCCCCGCAGGAGCTGAGAGTCTTCTACTGTAGTAGCTACCTTGGCCTGGGGTTGAGAGGAGGGGATTAGGAAGGAAGACATAGAGCACTGGTGAGGGTTAAGCTTAGAGTTCACAAATGAGCCATATTCAGCTCATCCGACTGATGCATCTTTTATTTAGTCTGTAAAAGTCTTACAAAAATTTTAAATGAGTTGGCAACATTTAATAAGAGATTATGCATAAAAATCTGGGTTTCTGGCTTTTCTTGAAAAAGACTTATCAGCATTAGGACTGTCTTTCCATGTGCACTGATGAAACTGAGAGGTCCTTTTAGGCAGGGCCTGTGCTTTCCAATTCACTGATCCCTCTTGCCCTGCACCCAGCAGTCTGCTTAGGTCGCCTTTAGTCATGAGCTGAGATGGAGTCTTAGAGCCAGGGAGCCATATGATAATTGAGAACTGGGTGACCTGGAATGTGTTGGAAACCTCCTCTGGGAGGGATAGAAAAGGAATAGGGGTTTAGATAAGATAAAGAAGGGGTAGAAACTGTCAAGTAAAGGAGGACAGGTCTTGGCTTACTTTTAACTTCCCCCCCCCCCGCCCCGTTTTTCCCTTTCCTTGCATATAATAATGAGAAGAGTATTTTCGGGTGGGGATGATATGTGGCTGGTAGATTAAGCCATTTGGGGTAAGAACGGAGAAGTGGCAGGAGTATTTTCCTTCATTACCCTTCCTTTCCCCCTCCTGAGGTAAAGGAAGGGAGTATGGAGAAAGGTCTGTGTGGCTCCCATGGTGATGGGGGAAGCATACCATGTCTTCTCCCATCACTGTGAAGGCCTGAGTTGGCTGCTCTGTCTCCCAGGCTGCTGCAGAGGTTGAAGAGGAGAGTAGGGGTGAGAGGAACAAGGAGAGGAAAATCTCTAGTGGTTTCTTGGGGAAGAGGAGAGGTCAAGTTCCTGCAGCTGCCTAGCTAAGGCTGCTGGGTTATGTAAGGCCTTCTTGCATAAGTCAGAAAAGCACTATTCTGATGCATTGGGGGGTGGGGAGGTGGGGGGTGGAGGGTGGATCCTTTGCGCTTGCCCTAGAGGTCTTTTAAAATTCTAATATGAAAAATAGACTTTGATTTTTTTTCCCTTACATTATAATGATTTAAGTCTACACCTTATTTTTCACAGTAATCTAAAGAATCCAGAGAACA